GTAAATATCAGGAGAAAGTCACATGTGTGAGATCCCGGTCAAAAGGCCCTGAAAATCCCATTTTTTAGGCACCATGCTACAAAAAACGTAGTTCGGGTAAAAATGTGCTAAAAAAAATTGTTTGGGGGGCAAAGTGCAAAACAGGCAATAGGTTAGGGGGCAAACTGTTTTTTACTCTAATAGAAGTAAGAAACGCTAGGGAAACCTAAGATACACTAATGGCATATATTTTTTTTTAATATTAATTATTAGAATTTTTCCATCTCCTATTTTCGAGTGTATTTTTCTCTAATGACCTTCATAGCAAATCAGATTTACAAATTCGTTAGCAAAATTTTAGTCCGTTCAGATAGTATTTTTTTTTTTACTCTCTTCACACTGACGTAACTTGTGTTAAGAATTTTTTTCTCTGCAACTCCAATGCAACTCCAGAACCTTGCACTTGGACCAACAATATGTAGAATCAATCATTTGTATATTTCATTTTTCTCTGCAACTCCAAAATAAGGCTAATTTTTCTCTCCCTATTGAATTTGACGAGTGTCATATTAGGTGACATGAGTTTTGGTTATCTTGATTTTTTCTTAAATGATGCCAACAACTGATTATTTATATATTTGATTCTTACCATTTTACTTTTTAACATGCTTATTATTTTTATGTATTATTCAGTGACATGTTTCACTACTTGGATTGATGAACTGATTGTATGTGGCCAAACATATGAAATTTTATAAGAAATCACTTTGTGGACATTACTTATGTTTGCATTCTAAGCAATGTTTGGAAGAATTTTTATTTTGTTTTCACTGATTCCCAAAAAAAAATTGTATTTATTATATTTTTCAAATAATTTTCTCAAAAAATTTTCAGAAGTTACTCTCTCTTTCAGACATGATGTGACTGCTACAGTAAAAAAATGTCTCCACTAAAAACCAGATAAACATCACTTCATCTTTCAAATTTTTTTCTTTTAAAATACATTTTTTCTAACACAAACATGATTTGATTGCTACAGTGTATTTTGTCTCCATTCAAAATATAAACAAACATCACTTTCATTCTCAAATTCTTCCCACAAAACATATTTTCTCAAAATGAAATCAAAATAAGTTCCAAAACGCTTCCAAACACTGCCTAAGAAATTGTTTGAGCTACTTTGTTTGTCTATTTGTAACCCAAAAATCCTTTTTCATGTTCTACATTTGATCAACCCAAACAAAATATTTTGTTGTTTGATATATTTTTCTTCTTCTCTCTTGAATTTGCCCACTATTTATCAAACGGGTTTTGGATTCTTTTTTGAGGTGGAAACACGCTTTCAGTTTTTTATTATTACCAAAAATGTCCCTAAAACTTTAAAATATTTACAGACACGACCCCAAAAGGTTTCCAACATGTGTCATGGAGTTTCGATTTCCGAAACATAGAAACACGTGTGTGTGAGTAGAAGTTTTCATGCATCATAGATTACCAAACATAAATATAAGTATGATCACTAGTCAAGCAAAAATACATATCAATATATGAAAGAGGTTATAATGAATGAAGTATGAACAAAAATTGCGTACAAATCGAAACAATTATAGTGGAAGATGAGTCAATTATTCACAGTTGAAAATCAGCTAAGAAAATTCTCAACAAGTTAAATGACAAAATTGAGCTGAATGATAATAATTTGCCTGTCCAAATCAAAATCACCTCTTAACTACAAAAAAATAAAAAAGCAAAATTGATGAAAAATTAGGCCCCTTTGAAGACTAAATCGACGACCTACCCCTTTGCCGAAACGATAACTTGCGTTCAACTTCTCCCGTCAACTTGACAGCAAATGTGACCTGTCTTGTAAGAAATTACAATTACCACAACCTTTTTTCGATTTTGAACGAACTATTTTCATGATCATCTAATTTGCGTGCAAGAATTTAATAAAAAAAAATTAGAAGGAAAAATTTAGCTGACCATTTCCAGTGAGCTGACTCGATGGAGAAGAAACCCATTAACCGTTTCTCTGGAAGTGCGACAAAAAGGCGACAAATCATTATTATTTGTTACTATTGCAAAATAGTAGCAAAATGGGAAGAAAAAAAAATTACTCACACTTTAGAAATTGAATTGTGATTAAAGGCAGTAATATATAGACCTTGAGCTTCGGCATCACAAGTTTTTGTGCTCATATATGCATCCTAAGGCACATAAGCAAAGATTTTTTTAGTTTTAAGCATTTTTCGAATGGAGAAAATGTTCTAATAATTTAATTAAATAAATATGCACTCTATTTTTATAATCATAGGAAAAAGATATTGTGTTATTCGGTGTAAATTAAACCTAAACTTGAAAATTTGAGGCATACGTACCGCTCCATAATGCAGTAATGTGCTGTGTAAAGACTCGAAAGAGATCAACGGGTCGAATCCAACAACAATTTTCCTGCAAATAACTCGGCGAAAGAGAAGAAAATTTTAACTGTTTTTTTTCCTTCTCGACATGTGGAATATATAGAACTTTGAAGCGTCGCAAACAATTATAAATTGAAGAAAAAAAATTATGTGTTCAATATTTGATAGCCACCCGACAAATTAAATTTCTCGATTTGGCGTGTGAAAATTTTTGAAGTTGCAATTTGCAGTCGCACAAAATTATAAAAAAAAAGGGAAAATAGACGACGAACCGCTGTAACACAGTTGAAAAATTACCAGTCACTATCGCTTTCGTTTAGGGTTTTCCTCAACCACAGAATCTGATCGTTTCCACGTGCACTTGATGGATCCTAAAATCATGACATAATTTATAGACAATTATTATATAGCAAATGACTTTTCACTATACACATAAAAAATTGTCGACGATAAGTATTTTATGTGATTGGGTATAAAAACGAAGAAATTAGTGAAAGTGCAATAAAAAAGAAACGACACTTACGAAATACACTTCAGACCTGGAATAAGACAGTGTCCAATGCAATAATATCAAGAGTTCGTCCGTGTGGAATTTCTATTTTCGTTACGGAATATGTTTCGCCTTGTCGTCTTAAATTCCCACAAGTGTACCTACAGTTTTTGACATAACACTAAATTAAATTAATGGTCGATAATTTGAATATACTTTGAAATTACTGAACAATGTAAGTAAAGAAAAATGGCATACCAGGGCATGTTTAGCAACTCAGGAAACATTGTCGCCTGTTAACAAATAAAAAAAATCATGGTGCCGATCGATTCGAGTGAATTAAAAAACATTAATTTATGGTGTTTTAAATTAAATACCCAACTAAACAATCAGACAGTCATCCAACATTATTAAGACAACATAAGTTAAGACAGTATCAATAACCTTTTTCATAAGCAATAGTTCAATAGAATAAAATAAACACTAATTAAGAAGAAGAAAAAAAAAGGCAACATAACTACCTATATCGAAAAGTCGAAAAATCACTGTCGATCAATTCAAGTAAATTATAAAGAACATTAGTTTATGGTGTTTTAAATTAAATAACCGACTAAATAATCAGACAGTCATCCAACATTATTAAGTCAAAATAAGTTTAAGACAGCATCAGTAACCTTTTTCATAAGCAGTAGTTCAATAGAATAAAATAGCAGTAATCAAGAAAGAACAAAAAAAAAAAGGCAGCATAACTAACTACCTATATCGAAAAGTCGAAAAAATGTTGTCCGATTTCAACTACCTTAAACTCAGCAATCAATTAAATAAAGCTAGCATTTTTAACAAGTCCAAGAAGCAAAAATCACACATAAATTTCATTAATTTTTTTTTTTAAATGCAATCAGAAATAATTAGATCTCACATTCTGCAGAAGTGGCTCCGATTCGCCTAGTTCACTAATGTCGATTACGAATCGAATATCGCAGATCCTCTTCACCTTCACCATCTACATTATCAACATCAAAAAAATCACACTCAAATTTGCCCTAACAGACAATCAAGATTACAAACTACTGACATTCTTGAAATTCAAAAAAAAAAAAAAAAAAAAAAAACTAATTCGAAGAAAACAACAACAACCCATGAATTATAACCTGTTGGAGCAAAAGGGTTTGTTGTTGAAGTGAAGTAGAGCCGCCATTAACAGTTATGAAGTAGATATGAGAAGAGCTTCTTCTGCCATGGGTGAGCTTCTGGTTCTGGTTTTGGGGCTGCCCTATATTCAGAGCTATGTAAGCAGCGGCGCAGAGGGAGAGCTGCGCGATAAGAGTGCAACGCCATGATTTTTCCTTCATTTTTTTCTTCTAACCAACTGTAGATCCGATTTTTCATGACCCATCAGCATTTGATAAACTATTGACTTATTGCAGATTTTTTTATTTTTTTTGCCTGCTGAATTTGGATTTACTTGCGTACAGATAAGACAAGTCATTGTCTGTGAAGTATGTGTGTGGGCTATGACGGCCTTGGCTATTTAGCTCCATCCTAGAATTTCAATTTTGGAAAACAATTTCTTATTTTAATTTAGAGTAAATTGCTCTTAATCTCCTCGTTACAAGCTTTTGATGATGATTCTCTTGTGGTTTAGGGGTTGGCTTCTGTTAGTTTTTCCGTCAACGGGTCATCTGCAAAAATAAAAGGGAAAATGTAAGTGTAAGGGGTCATCTGCAAAAAAAGTTTGACACGTGCGGTTAAGTTTGACTGAAAAATTAACGGACGCAAGCAACCCCTAATCCACAAGGAGTTATGTGTTGACATTACGAGTATAAGGGGATGATCTGTAAAAACTTGTAATTTTCAATAGGGGTAAATTACAAACACCCCCCTGAGGTATGACCAAATTACAAAAACACCCCTCTTGTTTGGATAATTACAACCACCCCCCTCAACTCATCAAATTTAGTGGAATCTTCGAGATTATATGGAATATTATCACTTTTGTACCCGTTTTATCCCATTCAAACTCTACATTATGAAGCAAGATGACCATAATATGTGATTTTTAGCTTGTATATATCAGTTTGTGGTGCATCGGAAACTGTATTTTTTACACAAAGAGTACAAACTAGAGCACATTTCACGGAATCTAGATGACTATGTTGAATTTGGCACCATAAAAAGAGGGGGGTTTTTTGTAATTTAACCATACCTCAGGGGGTGTTTGTAATTTACCCTTTTCAATAGCACTTCACCTCCCTTTATTTACCTTTTGTAAAGTTTTTAGGGTAAATAGCACTTCACCTCCCTCTAGTTTGAATCTTTTACACACAACTCTCTTATATTTTTAATATAAGCACATAACCTCTTTGTCCTTTAAAAAGATCATCCTTCTAATGAGCATATGCTTATCTGCCAAATGAAATACCACAATAGGGATTATGTCTTTATATTAAAAGAATAAGTGGATCATGTGCGAAATGGTCATACTATAGAGGAATTAAGTGTTTATTACCCAAAATCTTATTTCCATTTTCTTTAATTTGTTTTATAACTAGGGAAGGCAATTCGGCGTGTTTGGGATCGGATGGATATTAAATTCCCTTTTCGCTCAAGACTTGTGGATACCCACCTCTAAGGGTGTAAACGAGTTGAACTTGGCTGTTCTGGCGAGCTCGCTTCCATTTTGACGAGCTCGAGCTTTTCGAGTATTGTTTTTCTAAGCTCGAGCTGAGCCATTTTGTGTATTTGTTTTGTTATCTTTATTTTTTATTAATATTATTAGAAATTTATTATTATAAATTATAATTAAAAAAAAAAAAACAAAAGTGACCTGTAATTTATATTTAAATTATTTATATAAGGTTATTTTATATTTTATATTAATTATATTTATAAAAAAAAACTCACGAGCTCATGAACAAATAAAAATGAGTTCAGCTCAACTCGTCAGAAAGCTCGAACTCAAAAAATTCGAGGTTGAACTTTTGTCGAGCCGGCTCTCCGAGCTCATGAGCCAGCTCGGCCCATTTACACCCTACCTACCTCTCAAAAGCCGCCGTTAATTTTTTATAAAGTAAAGTATCATTATAACTATTTTATCAGAACTTTAGTTCTGACCTAATTCAAATTGCATTGGATAGCTAAGTCGAAGATCTAAAACTTTCATGTTTCGGATTTTTCTAAAATTTGGACTATAACATGGCCCAGATCGAACGTGAAGTAGAACCCTATGCACTGAAGTTTTGCAGGGTTTTATAGATACTACACCCAGTGAAATACATCTAATGATTCTACACTATTGATCTACACATAATAACATACGTCCATGTGTATGTGTGCTTATCAGTGGTTATTTATATAAATCCACAGTTCAAAATCAATTAACTCCCCAGAAAACAACAAATAAATCAGCAAATAGTAATGCTTCTACTTCATAACGTACATATATAATGGAAAACAAAATTGATTTTCCCACTGAAAAATGCAAACACATGTATCCAGATACAAGACAGTAACTAACTATCTAATCATATACTATAGTAACTTAGGCTTCTTCTCCATGAAACACAAACTTCAGATAATTAATCTGCAGCCAATCAGAATGCTACAATTTTTAAGGTATAACATATATACACACACACACAAGCTAATGAACTATTGTCAAGACACAAAAACCGAATCAATGGCTGCATCAGGTTTTTCCCGTTTCGTGAATATCCAAATACAGCCCTACATCACGAGCTGCCGCACAATTTTAACAACTTAAAAATTACAAGTGTATGAAAACATCCGTAGTTCGAAAAACAAAAACCGAACATAAATATCCAACCACAGCCGAAAAATCTCTTTTTCCCGTGTTCCCTTTTTTTTTTTTTTTTAATTTCCAGTCCACCTCCTCTTACGAGCTGGACGCTCTGACTTGATCTCCGAATCGGTCGGGCGGGTTTCAGTTTGGACCAAAGGCAAAGTCGGTTGCTTTTCGCTCTCGATGTTCTTGACTGTAGTTGTCGAGACATCTTTTTCGTTTTTCATAGGAAGCTTAAAACGCTCGCTCCGTTTCTTCAGCTTTTCAACAGTGTCCAAGTGTTTGTTATTATCCTCCGTTGCTGCTTTAGGGTTGACATTATTATTATTCGTTTCTGGAACGGTGTCGTTTTCTTCGACCAAAGGTGGCTGTGGCGGCTTAGCATCTTGGATCTTTCTGGAAGATTCTTCGGGCGGCTTGTTGGGCAAGGATGGTGGCATTGTGGGCCCACCAAAATCCCTCTCTTTATGGCTTGTCCAACGTTCCAATTTAGAGCGCCCCTTTTTCGAGTCAAGCTGTTCGTCGTCTGACGAAACCTCTTCTCTGTGTTTTTTGGAAGAGTGATGGTTTACGTCGACTTCACCTCTTTGTGGCTCGGTTCTGCCTCTCATGTTCACCTATTAGCACCGAGAAATAAGGAGAATCGTTTTTAGGCTTTGTTTGGATCAAACAAAAATGTCATGAGCAGAAAATAATTCAGTTTTGCGTTTTCATTTTCCTCGTTTCAAAATACATGTACCAAACAGAGCCCTAATAACTTTTTTCCAAGTAAAAGTCGATTGCTTTCAAAACAGAGCCCTAAACCTGACATTTATAGTTGTTGGCAAGGAAATTATAAAATATAAAACAAAAATCAACTTCAGAATAGTTGTTCTTGATATCATACGAATTCATTTTCGTATTAAAAACGTACCTTCTTGCTTATCTGGCCACCATGCTCGTTCTGGTTCCTCTTATAAGGGTTCAACGAACTGCGATCTCCACCATCCAATTCCTTACTCTTTCTACTACTTTCTTTCCGTTTTTCTTCGTGCACCCTCGAAGTATCGGAACCATAGTTAACACGCCCATCTCGATTATTAGGCCTATCGTATCTTGCTCTCTTCTCATCATTGATGTGTTGACTCCCACGAGCATAAACATCCTTCGAATGGTACTCTCTGCTCGATCCCGTATTATAATCGTCTTTCCCTCTCGAATGACTCATTCTCGGCTTTTGCAATCGGGTTTCTTCTCTCTCCCTCGGTGGAATTTCCTCTTGTTTAATCCTATACCATTCGTCGCGCTCTCTCTGCCTATCGATCCTCTCCCTCTGAAACGACGAGCCCCCTTCTTTTTGCCTTGCATTACTATTATTATGTACATCTCTTTTGATCTGATCAGAGCCATCATCTCTCTCTCTCTTCCTTCGGCTGCTGTTATTCTCTCTGTGATTATCGGATATATCTTCCTTTTCAGCGCGCTCCTGACTTACACGCACCTCTTCTTTCCTTCTTTTGCTATGAAACGCGTCGGCATTTTCGTTCCGATTTTTAAGATTATGATCATGACTAGCCCCCCTCCAATTACCACCGTTATCCATCTGATTTCTCGACTGGTGATTTTCGTCTTTCTCGCTTCTACTTTCACTTTCTCTACCCTTACTCATATCCCTTGTCCTTCCCCTACGATTATCAGCATCTCTGTATTCCTTTTTCCACTCTGTACTCTCGTTCTTCGCCACATGCCTATGCGGAAAGGAATAATCTCTCCCTTTCGCTGCCACGTGTCTTTCGGTTTCATCTCTCTCGTAATAACCTTTTCTACGAGAGCTGTCCACATTCCCCACTTCTCTCTTGACGAAACCTGCTCGAGGAGGGCGTCTGTCCTGAAGAACTTCATCATCAGCATCTTCCGGAAACTTCCGGAAATCTTTACTACTTCCAGATCTCGCTTTGCTGGTTGTGTCGCTGCTCCTTCCCGCCTTCGAGTCTTCCATGTCATCATCATCATCCTCTTGGGACAACTGTTCTGCGAGTGAACCGAGTTTTTGTTTCTTTGTTGGATACAACAAGTTCCCATCTTCAGTTTTTGTATCCACGTCGATTTTTTCTCTTTCCATATCAAAGCTTCGATCGTCCGATAAAGGTCCATCGTTCATTTCATCTTCAACTGGTGGGGGCTTTTCCCGATCAGATTCAGTGGCTGAAGGTGACGAGGTAGGACTTGTTTTATCGTCCCGCCTATCAGAAACCTTCTATTAGATTCCATATAAATCATACGATAGATAGTGAAACTTGTATAATTCACACAATCTTGAACTTCTTGTTGCATACATCACGAACAAAAAAAAAACAGTGGCATTATTAATTAGAATACGCATGTACCTCTCGTCCTCATGAAGGATATCAGTTTCCCTATCGGTACTAACAGTGTTCTTCTTTAATTGTGCTCTTCTTGATCCAGATTCCCTCTTCTGACCGTTATATGCTGGTGAAAAGCTATCCACATTCTCTGCCACGTCATCACCATCCTTCCTTGGCGGCTCGTCGTCTTGCTGCTCTGCCACTTCATCATCATCGACCGAACTGTGGCAAATGATCTGTTTGCCATATAAAGAAAGTTCCTCACTTATGGGGTGCATATACAATGAAATATTTCACACTGACGACATAAATAGGCAGACTGTAAAATATTACCTCAATAACGACATCGGCATCGTGCATTCTTATACGCTTGTTACTATCAACTGACGGAACTCGATCACCACCACCACCAGATTCTACGGGTATTGGCCTGCCGACAGGCTGGTATGTTCAAAGAAAGCTAGTGAGATAACAGTTTTGTAAGGAGAGAAACAACCCTGAAAATTCAAGGGTTTAACTACAGAAAAATTCCCCCGACGTAAAATTAAGTTCACATAAAGCAAGATTATTCCCCGATTCGCAAAACATGAATAAACGGGTAAAGGGATGTAACTGAATAAACAAGGGAGACATAAATCACATAAGAGGCAAAACACACGTACGAGAGGGGACCGCCCATTCGCATTTGCTCTTGCTATGTCAGTCAGAGCAGCATCTGTATTCCCACGATTCGCATTTTCGGGTGGAATATCTTGGATACCAACTGCTGCTGCAAGCTCCGGTGGAAGATCAGGATCGTAATCCTACATTCGACACCAAATAAAACGGAGAAGACTTGAGCAAACAAATAATTTTCAAAATCGAAAACCAGTCTATAAATCCAAAAGTTGACTAAACCACAGCCACGAATGTTACCCGTTCAGCTCTGCCACTTTCATAGACACGGATTTTGCTTTGCATTGTCGTCTCAAGCCGCAGTTGTTCCTAAAAAATTCAGATTCTATTCATTTAGCTTCTTGAAAAAATAATTTACATATAAATCCGAGATATACAGACTTGAGACTCAACCTACCAGCTGTTTGCAGTAATCTTTCCAGCTATCCTCATCCAAACCGAAATTAAAAAAGTCTGATACATCTATCGTCGGAAGTTTCCAAGGTTTTTCTTCAAAGCTATCAATGTCGACTTCAAATATGGTCCTGAGAATTAAAGTGGGAATAAGAACCTAGAATGAGAACAGACGGCTATTCATAAAAAACGGCATACTATACAAGCAACAGTTAATCATAAGAAAATATTATGTTACCAAACAAATTGAAGTACTGCAAAGATAGACTAATAATAGTATCTAATTGGAAAAAAAGGATAGGCTTTCTAGCGAAATCTATGGTTAATTTTCTTGCGAATTTATTGAATGCAACATGTCTTCTACTAACCGTGATAGAATAGTATTACTCGATATATTTATAAAATTCACCCAACGAAAAAAACATATAGAAGTACGAATAAGTTATCTTACTTGTGTGAAGGAAGAGTGAAATCCAAGCCACTTCCGAAACCACGACCTGCCTGCATTCCTCCGTAACCAGGATGAAACCCTTTCTGCATGGGCAAAGCACCTTTCATTCCAGGTGGTCTCCAATCACCTCTTCCGCGTCCAGCCATAGGGGCCATGTTGACAGGTGGACGAACGGGACCCGCAATCCCTCCAGGAGGCAAAGGTGCTGCGCCAGGTCTCACATACTAAGCAGTTCCACAGTGATGGAAGAGAGAGAAACAATATGAAGGTTATTATCATAGAAAAAACAAAATGAATTACCAGGAAAAGCTTCCGGTAAACCACAGACATTATTCAGTACATAAAGTAGAATGTGCATGCTTTTGAAGAGAAGATAATCGATGAAGAAGTATACAGATTGAATAACACCAGACAGTATGATTTCTATAAGGTTCTTTTCGGAAGGACAGATTCGGATTTGAAATGAATCCATATAAGATGGACACAAGATCCATTACTACTCAAGAAACAGCTCAAATAATACAATAAGCTAAATGAATTTGAAATTCTTAGCCTCAAATCCATCAATCCGAGTGGAGCTTAACAGAATCAAAAAGTGCATGGCTACAAAATTTGATTGATACATAATTACAGGGTAATCTGCCTACAGTATTGAAAGTAAGACCTTGACTCAGTTGAAAAAGAAAGATTTGACTCAGTTGAAAAGGAGGAAAGAGAACAATAAGATGCCACATCCAAAGATCACCACTTTTTTATCACCAAACTCCTACACGTTTTATCAGCTTAAAACCTTTGAAAGCAAATTGCATCACCTTTTCAAGTCGAGAGATGTGCTATTAGTTGTAGTAAATCATATCTACACTCGAGTTGTGAAATTCACGATGACAATGCATTTTACAAGGAAACAATTTTTGGATTAATTCACACGAATAGCCTTATGAACTAAGTCTTATGAACTATTCTTGGCCTACGGGCAGCAATAACCAAGTACATTGCACCTGGCATACTATCCTAACTTGTCAACATGGACGGAAAAGGGAAAGACACCCCTTTGTGGTGCATCCCCGATTTTGCCTGTTGTTTTCTTCAATTTATGATTTAAGTCTACTTGGGTAAAAAGGGATATCCACTGACTAATGCTCTTTAGAGAAGGAATATCCAACAGAATTGTCGTCTTTCAACATGCTCATACACTTGATAAGTTGGATAAGATCCATGAACACCATATATCCATAATCCTCTTAGTTGACTAGTTGTCGGGCTTTACAAATCACTGTAACAAAGTTATTATTTTTTTTACGAGTAGCATTCGTAGTTTCGACCTCATTAGGGACATTGGAGCTTCTCCAACCGTGGGGCTTAGTGAGTGTGTGTGTGTTGTAAGGCCACTTTATAAAGCCAATTTATTTACATAAAAAAAACTCACGAAAATAAAATATATTTACTCATAAAGAAAATACTTTTTTTTCATTAACAAGTAAGAGACTAAAATATGTACAAAATTTACTGTACCACCACCGTGACAAGAAGCTTATCGACCCGCTTCTTAGTGCCACCATATCACTAGTATCTACAATTTTCACTATATAAGAAGTACAATTGCATCTACAGTCTAATTACATTCGAAGCTGACCTTGAACTGCGAATGGAAAGGATGATGGAACCCATGATTACTGTAAGCAACCTTTGGCTGCACCGCTGTCGGAGCAGCACCGCCGCCACCTCCTCCACTCGCCTTGGCGGCATCACCCAAATCCTTGTCTCCATCTGCCGCTGGTCCCCCTTCCTCGCCGCCCCACTCCGGCTCCTCCATCATCATCTGATGTGGCTGTTGATGGTGGTGGTGGCCCACATCGCCATTATCCGCAAGAATCACCAACTGCTCTCCATCCTCGTCATCCTCATCGTTCACCCCCGCCATTCCGACTGGACCATGATTGTTATCGTTCAACACTATCTGCAAATCATCCTCACTCTCCTCACTTTCCCAATCATCCTCAAAATTTGAATCCCTAGGGTTATCCAATCTTCCGGAAAGGCCCGGAATCATCTGCTCCGAATCGACTCCAATAGCAGGCTCCTTTCCGGTTCCGGAAATATCGGCATCATCGTCTTTCTCCAGAAAGTCATCGTCTTTATTCTCCCCTTCTTCCACGATGATGTTGATATCATCATCGTCGTCATTCTCCAAGAAAATCGACCCACCAGATGCCTTCTGGGGTGGCGATTTCACACCCTCGCCCTTCTTGGAAACCCTAGCTTCATCAAACGCCAAATCGTCGGCTCTATTTTCAGCTATTCCAACAATCTTCGCGGAATCTAAATCCGAGTTTAGATTCAAATCGAACCCCCTCGGTTCGGGAAGGGCTTTTTCTTGAATCGGGGCATTCAAATTCCATCGGAGGGCAGAGCTGCTGGGATTTAAATTCGAATTCGAATCCGATTTCTTCAAATCGGGAGCTCCGTATAAAATCTCCTCGTCATCGCTGTTGATGTTGAGATCGATCCGGCGGCCCTGTGACGACGACGCCGCCGCCGCCCTTCCGCCAGGAGCGGAGGAGCCGGCTTCTTCGTGTTGCGGCTGAAACTGCGTGGTAAGGGGACGAAGGACGTCTGTGTAAAGATCTCCGAACTCATCGTCGTCTTCCATGGTTGAGTTTTAGAGAGAGAGGGGGAAACAAGGGTTTTGGTGCAAAGGTAAAGTAAGGGAAGAGTGAGAATTTATAGGTCAAGGGAAACGAAGATGTTGTGGAGAATGACGAGATAAACTCGGTTCTTAACAAAACTTTTTTTTTACCACATTTACACTTTGATGAATGCCAAAATACTTATATATATATATATATATATATATATATATATATATATATTTTTTCCTTTTTTTTTTTTTAAGGAAATACCAAAAGGTGTTCAATTTTAAAAATATTGTTTCGATTTCCAAAGTGATTTTGACTATTTTCGAATATGAATTTGGTAAAACTCAAATCTCAAACCATGGAATTTGTAATTTTTTGATTTGGCTTTCTAATACAACTTGAATCGTCAAGATTGAATTTCGACCGAAAATGATATGTATGAATCAATTAACAATGCCCACGATTTTGGGATTTTGAATTATCTAAAATTTAAACTGTAACTCAATTATGCATTACTTTATTACTAACATCCAATCTAGATTCAGATTGAATTAGTAAGCTAACATAAAGGACAAGAATCAAGATTACTATGTTTTGAATTTTGCCAAATACAGGTTAGAAAATGGTTAAAATCACGTTCCGAGCAGTATTAATAAAATTGAAATGACATTGAACGTTTCAGATACCAAAGTACGTTCGAGTTTATTGTTACTTCATTTTTGCGTCCATATTTACATCTAAAAAAGAAAGAAAATATAAATTAGTTATAATTCTTAAAGGCACGTATTTTTGTAGCTATAAGTTCATTGCTTTAATATTTTTTATTTCAATATTTGTTTTAAAGAATTTTGTGGCTATTTACCTTCAATTTTCTAAGAACACAAATCATAAATTCTTGTGACCATAATTTACCAAACTAATTTGTTGCAAGTACAAAGATATAAAAGAGAGCCCACAAAGCATATCTTATAATTTAATATTGGCCCACTAATGAAATTGAGACCCAAATATTTTGACGAATAAATACGCGATCCCAATAATAATGCAAAAATATGTAAATGACCCTAAAGCATTATAATTTATAAGCAAGTAATCACCTACTTGTTCTGTAAGAGACGACCTAGCGTTTGGAGCAAGTAAATTTGGGTCAAATTCGAATCTCCTTGCTAATTGTCGCTAAGTTATTTGTCACACATAATTAGCCTAATGTGGTTCATGTCTTTTGTAGCCTCGCATGATTTGCAAATTATTATACGAGAGTGTAGGTTTATCCAATGCACTAGTATAGTTGGTTGTGGTCGTTCATTAACAAAAAAAAAAGAAAGCATAGCATCTCATATTAATTGTTCCATATTTCCCCACCATGTGAAATGTCACTTTAGAATTTCAAGAAAAAATATTTAGCAATTTTGTTCTTCCATATTGAATATTCTTCAAGACTCCAAGATTATGTATTTATATATTCTGCGATGTATGGCTGTGCATGGACTGGTTTTATCGGCCAACCAATCTATTTTCGATCCATTTCTTTCGGGCGACAGATTTTTTGTCAGACAATTTTATTGTTTGGCCGGTAATTTTAATCGACCCATATATAAATAAGTCGGTCGGGTAATATCGGCCAACCGACTTTTTTAATAATTTTTTTATTATAAATATTTAATTGTAATTCTTATTTTTTTAATATTAAAATAATATATAAAAGAAGTAAAAACTCAAAAACTCAAAACAAAAATTTATAAATCTCTCATTCCTATTTCTATTTCATAATTCTTATTTCATATTCTTAATTATGTATTTACTTATTGTAGAAGTGTAATTAAAAAAAATAACTCTTAATTTTAAAGTTAAGAATTTTACTTAACATAAGATTTCCCAAAATTTTGAATATCTTTTGAATTTTTTTTTCAAAAAACATCTTATTATTGTTAAAAAAAAAATATTAAATAGGTAGCCGATAATACCAACCAACAACTCATTCAGGGGTGGACCCATGTTTTTTGGGTGGGGGGTTCGAAATATTTTATGGGCTTAAAGTGTTTAAAATTCAAACTTTGGGGGCTAAAGTACATAAACTAATAGATAAATAATACAATAATAATAAATAAATAAATAAAACTACTACATTTTTATTTTCATGCAGGCCCCCCCTCCCCCCAAGAGACACTGTGGGTGCCAACCATTACTCGACCCATATATAATGGTCGGGCTGGTAATAGTTTTCAATTTTCAGCAAAATCGGGTAGTCGGGTCGGATAAGTCATTGACCGATAATTGCCCGACCCGATCCATGTCCAGCCCTAATGCCATGAATGGACTCATGTAACTATGACATATTTGCTTGTTTGAACATAATTTATTTCCAAAAGAACGTAAATAGTTAATTCCACAAAATTAAAAAGTTTTTTACGAGGTACAAATTTAAATTTTGATTCATTTGTCCCAAAATCGACCATACATAAATTCCCCTATTGATTTGGGAATATTGACTACACCCCTAATCGATATGTATTCGTGACATGCAATTGGAGGAAGGAGTACTACTAATAAGTAGTGGTGATGTAGTTTTTTTTATTAATTTGAATTGGTGCTTCCTGAATTCAAGACTCAGCCTTCAGCCACCGTGAAAAGGCCTTCGAATGAAAGCTAACTACAGGGGGTTCGTAACTCATCCCAATGATCGGGAATTCCAACTTGAAGGGCTGAAACCGGCGAAGGTGCAAATCTAGAACAATTGGTTGTGCAGCTATTGAGCCCTTTGTTCTCCATCGTCTACCTTAGCTTAGGCGGCTACCTTCGGGAGGGAGATTGGCTAGAAAAGGAAGGAGACTAAAGGGAGGGCGTGCTACGAACTTCCTGTGAGTTTATGGGTCAAAATTGAATAATTGGTGAAATTAAGGTTAAAGAGATGACATTGGAGTATATTAAAAAACAAAGCCGGATATTTTAGTCTTTTAAACACCACTGAGCCTTGTCCGATTTTTTTTGTAAATGAGTTTTTTGACCTAATTATGAATAAGTAGCACACCATGGACTTCTTGATAATAGCGCCCATATTTTTTGCGCTCGTTTTTTTGCAACACTTTATCTATGACACGTAAACCCTATATCATGTAAAAACTCAATGCCTGATGCTGGTTTATGTAAAAGCTTCAGTATATTAACAAGAAGTGTTACGTTTAATTTATTTGTTGCTTGGATTCTTATAGATATTGTTTATGCAATGTGTCTTTGTTCGACTCTTTTTAGTCGATTTCTTATATGCAAATTTGGCCGGTCGTGCGCTGCCAATGGATGTCCGAAAATGCAGAAAAAACTTTAGTACGTGGACTAAGCAAAATATTTAGCGAATTAACTTAATAAATTCAGTCGACTGACAATATAACGTAGTCGACTAACTAAAAAAACTTAATCACCACCTTGTCAATAGATATCTAAGAACGTTCAAAAAATTAGTTGACTAACCATCAAAAAATAGTTGACCACTTCGTCGATAAATATTTAAGAACGTATCTAAATTTGTCGACAAAATATTAGTCGATTTATTTTTTTCCACTAAAATTTTGTTATTTATTTCAGAAAAGTGAAATATTGGGTCCAAGTATATTAATTAATTGCTTGAAATTATATTAAAAATATTAACGAGTATAGTAGTGTAAAAACAGGAGTCCTAATTTAATTATGCAATTAGAGGTCAATTAAAATCCATTATAAATACTTGTCCAACTCATTCATTATCTATTTATCTTTAATAATTAATAAATAAATAAACTAATAAACCTCCGTTCTTCATCACGATGGCTTCGAAACTACCACAAGAGAAAGAATATGAATCAGACGATGTGCGTTCCCCAAACCCTTCCCTTTTTTCATTAATTTCTTTTAATTTCATCTGTTTTTTTTTTTTCTTTTTTTCATTCTAACAAATTATTTGCCATTTAATTATTTAGGGAGCTTGCATAGTCTACTATGACAAAGATTCCCCGAGATCGTGTATTAGGCGCCTCGAATATTGCAAATCTATGGTCGACCTAGTTATCGATTCCTATAACCGCGAACACGTATTTTTTTTCTCCTTCAAATTTTTGTTTCTAGTTTCTGAAATCTTGGTTCGGAATGTAACGACTAATTTTTTTTTTATTTTTATCTTTTTTTTTTAGTCGAAAAAATATCGTATGGTGGAACTGATGGAACTTTATGCAATTCCTGGATGTGGTGGTGGATATTTGTCTATGAATTTTACCGCCAAGCTTGACGATAGTACGAATGATGCAGTAATTTTTGAAGCACATACGTACGGCGGAACCAAAGGAACTATAATCGAAGCTGTCCGTATAGTTGAATTGTCGATGAAGGAGCAGTATCAACTTCAAATTCAACAAGGGGTCTCAACATAGGTAATTACTTTTCTAGTTTTATTAATATAGTTTTGTTCTATATTTCTTTTCACAAAAGAAGTTATCAAAGAGTAATAAGTAGAAAGCTTGTACAACAAGCAATCAAGTATAAATGTTTTGCATTTCAAGTTTTACAATTGTGCTAGTAATATGATGGGAAAATTAGATGTTATACCTGATTATTCACACTGGATGGATTTGAACCGTAAAGCTTCTACACATAATCACACACACACACCACTCATGTGTGTTGCTTAATGAGTAGTTATTTAATCAACTTTACGATTCAAATTCATCCGGTGTAAATAATCAGGTGCAACATCTAACTCCCCTACATTTGATGATTTTAGACTTTCTTCTTAAATAGGTTGATTTTAGAATTTTTTTTATATTACATATTAATATATATGCATTGTAAAAATCAAATATTTTTTTTATTATTATTGTTATGTTGATGTATTTAAGGGATTTGGTTCTAAGTACACTGCATCAGTTTTACATGAAACAATTTTTGCGTAATCTCTTGCATCTTTGGTCCTATTTTACATTATTCTTTTAGTTTTATGATGTGACAAATAAACTTTGACTAATAAGTATTTGAATTTTGATGTATTATATTGTGGGATAACTAAATATAAATAAAACTAAAAATTACGGCCAAACACAAGTGGTTTTTCATAATTTGAGCTTACCTCAAGGAGGTGTCAGTAATTTATCCTTTTTCTTTTACCACATCGTGCACTACTGCACTTTTTTGGGCAAAATTTCGTCGAGAATTGGTTTGGTCTAACGTTAAAAAATACCAAAATACTCTCAAGTCTACTGTTTTCTGCATCCATAATTACATGTAAAACTAAAGAAATTGAAATTGTTGCAAGTACTAAGAATGACACACAATTAACTATGAGTAAATGCACACACTTTTTCTTTTTTTTTTTTTTTTGGTTAATTCCAAGGATTTCAGAATTTGGAATGAATTTGTAGATTCTAAAAATATTGGAATCATACTTGAAGGTCATTTTCTAACTCCGAAAAAAAAAATTCTAAAAGAAAATCGAAGATAATAAATTCGATCCATTCTATTCGATTTTCACACATGGTTCCACGTTTAGAAGCAAATACTTCTTTCAGATTTGCAATTGTGACCCAAACGTAAGAAAAGGCGAAACCGAGAACTATTGAGGACTAATATGTAATGACTTTGGTTACATTTCAAAATATAAATTTCTGAACAATACTCCTCCTGCAAGAAAACCTGGAACTGAAAGTCTAACTTACATGCATCAATTTGTCTAACGAGATATAATTATTACGATACAAGTTCGCCATACAACTTCGATATCAGCTATGTAATGCTCGAAATAATTCAAGTAAAAAAGAGAATGAATCAATATTCCTTTGTTGCATGCTTCAGACAGGATGACAACAGACATCATTTCAAAACCTGTAATAGAATCCAACAGTTGTTCTTTTTAGCTCCGAATAAAAGACGAGCCTTTACGCATCAATAACAGGAAACCTCCCATTGAAGTTTCCGTTTTCCAGAATATCAATATATTGATAACCTCAAAATCGCAAATCCCGTTTTCCATCTTCTTTCATACGCTCGTTAGTCATTGATTACCCACACAGTGTGACAAATAAACTTCTATTTGGTTCTTACCATGACTACAAGCACGTTCATTCGACTAAAATTGAACTACGACAAACAAAAAGTAGTAGAAATAACTTACAACATGAACATATAAAAAAAGCTTAAGAATTTATCAATAATCCAGTACAGAAGAATCAACCACAATTTTTAGATATACGATATCCCCACACGTACCAGTTCATTAGTTTCTACCAAGAGGCAACGATCTGCAAGAATACGTTTCCTTGAAATCCGACTTCTTCTTCGACGAAGTAAAAATCGAATCGTAAACCGCCTTGGTCGCATTCGCAGGAGCCGTCGCCTTAAACTTCTTAGTCGACTCTTTACCATTACTTTTCACCCCATTCCCTTCAATACCATGTTTCGTACCGGCCAATTTCGCTACCTCTTCTCCTTTCGCATCCCCATTCCTCAGCTTCTTCGATTTCTTCCCATTATTCGCTTTCGCTTTTTCCTCCGTCAGCTTTTCCCAAAGCTCCTTAACCTCATCTTCACTCCCGTTGATAACCAGCTTATCGCTCTCGGCAAATTCCTTATGGCAGATCAAACAAGCCGAGGATTTCACCTCTTTAAACCCCTTTGCGCTCATAACATGGCCGCAGCTTTTGAGTGCGAAGAATTTATAATTCCCGTTGAATTCGACACCGGCTATCGGGCACTGGAATTTCACCGTCCCGACTTCTCTAGCTCCGGGAATCTCCGCCAGATCAACCGCGATCATATCCTTCAAACCCTTGATGTAGCCGTACTGCTTGGGCAGACTCTTCTTCAACAAACCCTCGACCAAAGCTTCCTTATTGAACAAATTCCCCAATTTATCGATAACCACCGGGTGCCTCAGCGGCTCGTTGGATAAGCTGCAATTGAGCCATTTCGAGAGGCGCATCTCGTTCGGGTCGGCCTTGTCGGGCTTTTTGATGGCGTACATGTTAAGGTAGCAGTCGCGGGACTCCGCCCCGGTGGCGCCGCCATCGCCGCCGCCGCCGTTGAAGCGGAGGTGGAGGGTTAGGGTTGAGAGAGGGGCGATTGGGGATTTTTGCGAGAGGGGAGTGGAATCCGGAAGCGGCTTTCCATTGAGAGTGAAGAAAAGGGAACTGTGGGGAATCGAATTTGTGGGGAAGAGGGAAGATTTGAGGTGGTGCAGAGTGAGATTGGGATTAGGGTTTTGGAAAATTAGGGCACGGGTGGGAATTCGGAATTCTGGGAATCGAACGAATATCTGGAAATTTTGAGATGCGGGTTCCATGATTCTTCGATGATGATGAAGATTGTTGCTGTAAATTTGTTTTTTTTATCGGAAATTGTTGGTAGGTCTGAAAGTTGAATCTGGAGGTGGAAGATGGAGGGAGAGAAGAAGACGATGAAGAAAACCAATTTAGTTTCGGGTTGCTTCGGATCCAGCCCTTTTTAAACCCAGAGAACAAACCGTCTTTAATTTTACAAATTTAGTTTCGGGGTTAACTTTTTCAAATTTTTTTCTTTCTTTTTGTTTCTTTTTTTTTTTGATTTTTTGATTTTTTTCTTTAACATCTGTTTACCCCGTTTAAACAACAATATTACTGTAGTTGACAGTAATATTAACTATATTACAGTTTAACACAGTAAAATTAATTATACTACAGTTTAACACAGTGATATTGCTATATTAATCTCTAGCACAGTAATATTAACACAACAAAAGTCATTATGATTGTGTAATAAAATAATATTAATAAGTTGACAGTTCAACAAAGGTAAACATAATAAAAAGCCAAAAGAATTAATATTAATGTGCGTGATAGTAATATTACTATAAAAACTGTAATATTACATTCAACCACATTAATATTGTTGTGTTTACAGTAAGTAATATTATAAGATAGTAATTACGTTACTCCGTGAATAACTCAAACAAAACAAAAAAACCCAAAAAAATATTAATATTTATGTAGTTGACAGTAATATTATTGTGTTTACAGTTATTTTACTGTCAACGACAATAATATAATTACGTTGACTTGTCAACAAATCAAACAAAATTAAAAAATAATAACAAAAAAAATAAAATAATATTGTCGTTGACTCTAATTGTACTGTCAACGTAGTACAATTACGTTAATGTACTGTGAGTGGCAGTATAATTAAGTTAATTTACTGTCAGTGACAGTATAATTACCGTTAATAACATCACAATTACGGTCAACGTGTAGCGGCGGACGCAAAAAAAAAAAACCTACTAAAAAAAGTCAACGCCGGAATCCGGCGGCGGAAAAAACAGACCAGAAAGAAAAACAAAAAAAAAAGTCAACAACGCCGGAATCCGGCGGCGGAAGAAAAATACCGGAAAAAATAGAAAAATCAACGCGCAAAAAAATATTTTTTGAAAAAAAAAAGTTTAAAAAAAAAGTCAAAATTGGATTTTTGTGGTCAAAATTGATTCAATTGGGGTTACAATTAAGAATTTGATATAAATGGTTGGGGGTAATTTTGTCATAAACGTGAATTTTTCCTTTATTTATAACAAATATTAAATGGATGGGCTTATTGGCGAAAGAGATATAACCCCTAAACCTAGAATAATAAAGATAGTTGGTTAGAGACGTATGCACAAAAACCCCATTTGTTAAGGGGTTATTTGAGGAAACCCCCCAAAATGCCTTTTGCAGTTAGTATATGCCTAAAAAATATTTCACTATTTTAGATAAATCCATAATTTAATTTTAAATTATATTGTACGATTATACCCTGCACCAAATTCATATCCAACACCATTTAATCCTAGCCACACCAGTTTTCTCTCCATTTCTCTCGATCGATATTTCCCTCTTCCACCATCTCACTCCCTCTCTCTCTCGGTCGATATTTCTCTTTTCACAATCTCTATTCCGATTTTCTTCTATCGGGCGACGGAATAAGGAAACTCGAAACAAGGCACAAAAAAATGACGACGACGAGATTTCGTCCCGACGACCGGATGTAGAGCCGCCGTGCAGATCTTTGTGGGGGATTTATTTCCTCCCATATCCGTCGTTGCTATTCTCTCTCTTTTTTCTGCCCTTGTCTTTTTTTTCCACCGCCTCCCTTCTATTTTTTCTCGTTCAACCGCTTCAAGAGCGGATCGTAGTTAGAGTTTCCTCATTAATTGGTGTGCCTTCAGCAAAGATTTCGGCTACTGCTGTACATTTCGATAATGGGAGTTAGAGAACCAACGAAGGTGATTTTCTTGTTTCTCTTTCTGATAATTTTTCAATTTATAATTCTTTTTGTTGTTAAATTAATTTATTAGTGAAGGTGTTTGATTGATAGATGCAATTTGCCGACATGAATTTCATAATTAGAACTAGTTGATATTTCTTGGATTTAACAATAGGTTGTACTATGATCAATTGAATTTAGTCAAGAAGGTGGCCTATTATGCTTTTTGATTATATAGCGAATGTTAATTTGTTTTCATTGTGATTTATGGTTTTAGCCTTATCCTGAATCTCATTAGTGGACTTTAATATTTTTGCAATGGGCTTTGATTAACATAGGCATGCTATGCTTTTCATTTTAGTTTGTTTGAGGAAGGAGATTAATATAGTGGATTATGTTAATTAAGTAGTGAATTACATTAATTTCGTAGTGAATTACATTAATTTAGTAGTGGATTCAGTTATGTTTTTTTTTTGCAGTGGATTACATTAACTTAGTAGTGGATTATGGGTGAGCACAACTTCTCTTAATTTTCCCCCCTTCTCTTATATGGCTTGTTGATGTTGCTTTTTTTGAAATTATCATTTGAATGATTAATAGTAGTGGTTGTCTCATGTAAATTGAAACTAAAAAAATAAAAATCTTACCGGCGACGTGACATGCTTTTTGAGTAATTAATTACGTTCATCTTGATTTGCGATGCACATAAATGCAAAAGTGAGTCCGTGCATAGTTTTATCCGATTCCCGAGTATGAACCATTGAGCATTATAATAAGGCACCCGTAATTCAATACATTTTCAATACCTTTGCCCATCAATTTGCGTCTGTATAGCCTCGGAATTGAATTTGAATATTTTTATTTTGTGTAGTAGTTTTTTTAGAATTTTTAGTTGGTTTTCGTTGATTTTAATTTTTTTTAGCAGTTTTTGTTAGATTTTGGTAGGCGTTTTGTTTTTTGGTTAAGCACATTGGTTTTTTTTTTTTTTTTCCCACTGATTTGCATATCTATATTTATATTTATAGAGTTCGCTACAGAAATTTTGTAGTGAATTTCGTTAATTTCATAATGGATATCAGTATTTTCGTAGTGGATTTCGGATAATTTTTATTGTGGATATTTATAGTTGTTATGGATTTTCGTTGTGGGTTACATTATTTACATAATGGATTTTGATATGTTTGTAGTGGATTTTCGTAATGGAATAGATTAATTACATAGTGGTTTTCACTAAGTTTATAGTGGATTTTCGTAACGAAATACATTAATTACACAGTGGGTTTCATTAATTGCATAATGATTTTTGTTAATTACATAGTGGTTTTCGTAAATTTATAGTGGATTTGAATTTGTTAAAAAATATTATTTTTTAAATCGAAATGTGAAAACAAAAGTAAAAAATATTAAAAATTAAAAAATAATATATTTCTAAAAAAGATCTGAATTTTTTTTTTCATATAAAAAAAAGGGGTAAGTATAGATAAATCCCCAAATACAAACTTAAAGCGCGAATCAGTCCCTACAGACGTTTTATAGGCGGATCAGTCCCTACTGCAGAGTTTCACATGCAGTTCAGTCCCTATGTTTTTATTATTATATTATTTTTTTCTCTCTCTGTCTCTCTCTTCATTTAATTTTTCTCTCTCTTCCTTTTTTCTTTCTTTTCTCTTTCCTCTTTCCTCTTTCCTCTCTTTCTCTTTCTCTTTTCTCTTTTCTTTCCTTGCCCCGTTCTAATTCAAAACTCAATTTTCAGCTATTTTTCTTTAAACAACAAATGAAAAGGCGCAAGAAAAAACTCATGAAGAAAACAAAATGAAAAGACGAAAGAGACCCATTCTCGAAGAATTGTGAAGGGGAAGAAACACGATTTGATTTTCTTTTTCTAGTCACATATTTAAAAGATGTTTGCTTGTTGATATAGGTTCTGAGAAAGACGCTTCTCGTATTATTTTTTGAAACATTTTGTGTTTTATGTGACTGCAGTAGTATATGTCGTATTAAATAATAGTATTGCTAGTGTGGTTGGATGGTGTTGAAATAAGAGATGAAAAGTACTAGTATTGCTAGTCATGTAGTAGAATAAATACGTCAACATAGTAGGCTTACGTCTAGAATCAAGTATATTTGGTTCAGTGGTGAAGTACGTGTTGTCTAAGTGAGTATCATGTCGGCATTTTGAGGCATTTTGAACTCTAAACGCAACACCATTGTTCATCAATCTTAAAATAGTCATTTAAAATATATTTTATGTCCCTCCCACACTCACTAATCACTAAATTTATTATGAAATTGGTACAATTCAATTCATTATAATTATGGTACAATTTATTCTACATAGAAATGAATGCATTACACCAGTGATGCTCGTGTTGTCCATTCATTGAGTACGCTTCTTTCAATGAAAAAGTAGATGTTCTCCATTTATATGGTACGCTTGCTTTATATATATTATTTTGGAACCAATGCAACAATATAAAACATAATTTATGACTAATTACATGTAATGAGATAACGTGGGAATCCATCAACATCAATTATGGTAACATTTGAGAAAAATACTAGTTCTACATACAAGTCTTGTACTATATGTGAATATCATGTAGGAAATCAAACACATTTGTGGACTCCGAACGTAACATCAATGTTCACCATACTTAAAATACTCATCTAAAACATAATTTATGCATCTCCCATACTAATTCATCATTAATGATATGAGCCAGCCATGCATCGAAGTTAATGCCGAGCTAAGCAAAGTGAAAACTCTCAGTGTGAATGTTGATGAGATGGCGGTGCCTAGAGAGATGCTTCATCCATTCTCTATACAGAGGTTGAACGCATTGGAACTTCAAGCTACAAAATACTCGTGTTCATATCCACTTCAATGGATGCTAGATAGTGTGTTTGGCGATGTGGTGCAGAGATGTTTAAGTTCGCTACCAAACAGAGAGATCGATCTTGTTTATACTCCTTGTGATATTTGTCCGGATTCGAGGACGAATCCTTTTAAAGAGGGGGAGAATGATACGATCCGCACAAGCTCCAAGACAAAGAATTGGAAGAAGAGAAAGCGAGTGAGATTAATGGAGCCGTTCGTGTTGGGATTGAATAATAAAGGCTTGAATCAGACCTTTGAAGAGTTCGTGGTTTGGAATTGGAAGAAAAGAAAGAGAAGAATTCGTTGGACAAGTCGAATTCCATGCATCCGAGATTCTCGCCTATTCTGGCAGAGTTTACGATTCGAGTTATAACTCTCGCATCTGAAGTCCATTTAAGCTGATTCAAAATGATTCGGAAAGCTAACTGAAAGATCTACAACTTTCGTGTTTTGAGCAGAGAGATATTCGAAGTGGAACAATGTCGAAATTGAGCTTTAATTTCATGCACGTGCACAGCCCAATGTCGCGAGTTAAGAAGGGTGATCGAGAAGCCGACTTGAAGATCAAGTTATCTAATTTATTTATGCACGTTTTTAATTTGGTATTTATTATGTTTTTATTATTTTAGAGTCTTTTATTGTTAGGATTTGCTCATTTACAAGTTTCCTTATTATAGTTTAGGTAGGAGTCCTTTTCCTTGTGAAAAAATGAGTCTTTTTAGCACTTATAAATAGGTTGCCAATTTGGCTAATTTTATAAGACGAATTTTAATGATATTTTGAGTATTTGGTGAGATTAATTCTCCTTCGCTGTTCTACAGCAACTTCGGGATTTTACAAGTGGATTCTTGTAACTTTCTTAGCGACATAATATTGGTTTCTGGTTCTTTATAACCACGGGGTCAATATTCCACCTTGATAATAATGGTTTCTAGCTCTTTATAGCTATGGGGTCATTATTCCGTGCTTCCGCCAAACTTGAATCTTTGTTTTTGGGTGTTTTCGATCTTGCTTCCGCGTAGGGTATTAGGGTCTCGTAACAAGTTCTACGGGGTTCGTATCAGTTGGTAACCAGAGCCAACATCCAAAACAAGTTTCGCCTATCCTTTATTTCGATTGTTGAGTCAGTCCTTTGTCGTGTCTTCGATTTTTTTTCGTTTCGTTTCGTGTCTATTGTTATTGAGTCTTCTACTCTTTCGTTTTGTTTATTTAGAGTCTAGAAAAAAAAAATCGAATTTTATTTTTTGTTTAGATCTCTTTTCAGCCAAGTTAGGGTTTATTAGTGTCAAAAAAAAAATAAATAAAAAAAATTGTTTTGATCATGTCCGAGAAGGCCGGTTCTAAAGAAGAAAGAATTGAGCAACGTAGGATGTCGTCAATGGCAAAACGATTCCAGGAACTCCAAGATCGGATGGAAGGAATTGTTACCCAACTAAAGGAACTAAACAAAGATCAACATGTTCAAGGGCCATACCTACGACGTGATGTTCACCAACCGGTTCTACCTCATCGTGATAAGGAGGTTTATGGTGATGTAAGATATGGTGTGACTGCATCAACACCAAGAGATGTTTATTTGCGGCGAGGGGCTCAGTTCGATCGACCAAGACGAGGTTATTCCGATTATTACGAGCAAGAGTTAGATGATTATCCTAGATCAAGTAAGTACTCGGTTCATTCATCCTATGCTACTGAGTTAAAAGAAAGGAGATCGTCGAGTCGAAAATCACGGTGGAACTCTTCATCAAACCGAGATAGGGAATCAATACCGAGAGAGGCCACGTTCGATCCTCCATATGAGACTAAAGAAAGAGGTTATTATTCTTCTCAATCTCGTTCAATTCATGACACTAAATGTTTTTGGTGTTTGGGTTTTGGTCATGTTGCTTCAGATTGTTTGGATAAGCCATTCATGAAATTGCGGTCGAACTACGAGGAATTGAAGAGAAAGGGTGATTCTTTATCGTCACTTGGAAAGGAAGATACTCGTCAAGCTTTTGAGAATCTGAACATTGTAGCCGATTTAGCAAGTGATATAACGCTGATTGAGGAAAAGTTAAGTGAGAATGTTGAGGTCGAGTCCAAGGGGGAAGAAAATTGCAAGCCCGCGCCACAACTCGAAGAAAAAGAAGGTTCGGATTCGAGGACGAATCCTTTTGAAGAGGTGGAGAATGATATGAGCCAGCCATGCATCGAAGTTAATGCCGAGCTAAGCAAAGTGAAAACTCTCAGTGTGAATGTTGATGAGATGGCGGTGCCTAGAGAGATGCTTCATCCATTCTCTATACAGAGGTTGAACGCATTGGAACTTCAAGCTACAAAATACTCGTGTTCATATCCACTTCAATGGATGCTAGATAGTGTGTTTGGCGATGTGGTGCAGAGATGTTTAAGTTCGCTACCAAACAGAGAGATCGATCTTGTTTATACTCCTTGTGATATTTGTCCGGATTCGAGGACGAATCCTTTTAAAGAGGGGGAGAATGATACGATCCGCACAAGCTCCAAGACAAAGAATTGGAAGAAGAGAAAGCGAGTGAGATTAATGGAGCCGTTCGTGTTGGGATTGAATAATAAAGGCTTGAATCAGACCTTTGAAGAGTTCGTGGTTTGGAATTGGAAGAAAAGAAAGAGAAGAATTCGTTGGACAAGTCGAATTCCATGCATCCGAGATTCTCGCCTATTCTGGCAGAGTTTACGATTCGAGTTATAACTCTCGCATCTGAAGTCCATTTAAGCTGATTCAAAATGATTCGGAAAGCTAACTGAAAGATCTACAACTTTCGTGTTTTGAGCAGAGAGATATTCGAAGTGGAACAATGTCGAAATTGAGCTTTAATTTCATGCACGTGCACAGCCCAATGTCGCGAGTTAAGAAGGGTGATCGAGAAGCCGACTTGAAGATCAAGTTATCTAATTTATTTATGCACGTTTTTAATTTGGTATTTATTATGTTTTTATTATTTTAGAGTCTTTTATTGTTAGGATTTGCTTATTTACAAGTTTCCTTATTATAGTTTAGGTAGGAGTCCTTTTCCTTGTGAAAAAATGAGTCTTTTTTGTCCACGTGTACTACTACATCGTAATCTGTGCTCGAACCTTGTCCTGTGGTCGAACCTTGCCCTGTGCTCGACCCTTGCCCTGACATAAAAAATACACAAATCGGGTTGCCTGAACAAGAAAACAAGATACATTAGCATCAATTTTTACATAATATGACGAGTTAAATACATTAATAATTTAAATAAACTTAATGAAAATACTAAGACGACAAATAATTCAAATAAAAGGTATATTTACAAATATGAGTTCCAAAAATATTTGATCAACTAATACAATGAGTTACTCTTCCATAACATCTATAACATTTATGTCATTATTTATCGAAAGTATCTCATAACATCCATCTTCAACTTCAACAAGATCCTCAGATTTTAGAGCAAAGTTGTCCCTTGGTTTAATAACAACAGGCACCACCCATGGCCTATCACGTGGATCTTCGACGTAGAATGCTTGCAATACTTGTGATGGCAGAACAAAAGGATTTGCTTTTGCATCTGGCCTAGATAAATTCACAAGTGTAAAGCCTAGGTTGTCCCTCTTGTTCGTACGAATATTAGCCCAATCACACTCGAACAAGACTACTTTTTTTGCACCAACATTGAATGAAAGTTCAATGATGTCTTTTATTACGCCATAGTAGCCTACATCTTCATCTCTTGGAGATTTATCCTTCGAGTCTCCGCATGCCATCTCATGTTAATGGATGTTCTCTCACAGATAAATAAACGCTTAAGCCTCGGAATCAAGGGGAAGTGTCGCAAAACCTTTTTCGGTACTCTTTTGCGGCGAGTGGTTGAAGAGCTCGGCTGGTTCTCCATGGAAGTCTTCCATCGTGAAGCATTGCAGACTCTACATGAATCTAAGTCTATATCATCCTTCCAGAACAACATGCAATCATTCTCACATGCATCAATTTTCACATAACCACACCCCAATTTCCCAATCAACTTCTTAACTTCATAAAAAGAGTCGGGAATATTTAGACCAGGAATTTTTTTAATTAGTTGGAGTGTGTCTGAAAACGTCTTATCGCTCATCTTGCCTCGAGATTTAATTTTGTAGAATTCCAACACGAATGAAAGTTTAGAATTTTCTTGGCATCCCTCATATAGAGGGATACACCACTCTTCAATGAGTTTACGAAAATCATCAACTTCCGGTGTGGATTCTTCCAATGATTCGTGTTGATCAGGATGAATACATGCTTGCAACAATTCTTCCATGTTCTCACGACCGCTCGCACCACCATCGGTTTCATGATTCACCTCTTCAACTTCAGAAATTCTGAAATCAGCAGCTTCATTTGTTTCACAAACCTGATGCCCGAGACGATATTCTTCCTCAGACTCTAGGTGCATTACCCATTGGCCTAAACCATAAGATTTATCCCAACCCCTCCAAAGTAAATGTCCATGGACAAATTCCCGATCCCCAATTTTTCTACACTCACAATCTCGACATGGACATCGTATTTTATTATCAATCGCAGCCTTATTAAAAGCAAAATCCAAAAATTCTTCACAACCCTTTTGAAATGCATCTAATCGATGATCATCTATCAAAACCCAACTCCTATCCTTTGCCATTTTGTAGTAAGTAAATAGTCTTACTGATGCTGGTAAAAAATAGCATGACAAATATTTCAGTTATTCAAAATATTGTTTTTGTCATGTAGAATGCATTAATTAATATAGAAAAAAAAAATCGAAATGAGAAGAAATATTAATTTTACGTAACCACGCACACAAATATTTCTTTTATTAACATAATAATCATATAATCAGTTTTACATGATTATTGATTTATTTATAAATCAAGTGCTAAAAAGAATTATTCAATATTTAATAAGTATTTTTAATAAATGGAAATGTAGATTGTCTTCTACTATTAAGAACGCATAAAAATCGGAAGGAAGAGATAAGTTGCATCATATAAGTTTGCGTTAACATGCGACAACAAAGTTGAATGAATACAGAAAAACTTTGTCGTGGTAAAGGTGAGGGAAAGGATAATTTCTTACTCGAGAAAGTCTAAATGTGCAAAACTTGCGCTTCCTTTTCCAGCTATACTTGATTAGTTGTGTTCCTTTCTTCAAAGCAATAAGTACCTTCAGTCAACAAGTCAACAAAATTAAGTACCGATTCAAAGGTTCAACAGTTTTTCACCCGATTCCACAAATCGATTCTCACACACACACACACGCACAGACACATTTGTCTACCTCTGCTCTTTTACATATTCTAAGATTCGCATCAGCCGAATGTTCGCAACTGTATGATTTGCTGGAATCAGCAAAACATGTTTATGAACAAAATCAAATTACAAAAAAAGAAAACCTTTTCACACACACACACACACTCACTCAGAGAGAAAAACACACACATATCACACAATTTGATGCATATATCAAATTCAATTCAACAAACATTTACGCCTCTTCACACACACACACACACAGACACACAGACACACACACACACACACACACACACACACACAATTAGAAGCTTAAAATGCTACATGATTATTAGTTGTTTGCTGTATATTATGCAGGTTACACTGATTTGGCAGCGTGGTGTTGGAACGGAAGTGGCCAATAACGGTCGGAAAATAAGCCAACTAATGACATGTGTTTTTGATTAATCTGTGTCCAGACTTTGCAATATAATTTTTATTTTAATAAGGGAAAATATAAAGAAAAACAAAGAGATTCTCTTTATTTTCATGAAAGGGAATAGAAAATGCATTTATATTTATTTGCATTTCAACTGATATCAATAAATATATATATCCATATAAACTTTGCAGCAATCAATTTTAAGCATAAATACCTCGACAGTCTTCACACGGTGGGCTTTCACAGACGAGGCGGCGGCAAGGCAACGGCAGAGGCGGCGGCAACACTTCGGAACAGAGATCCCAAGAGAGTGAGAAAAAGATGGAGGGAGAGAGAGGGAGAGAAAGAAGGGGGGAGTTTGGTGGCCGGTGATGGTGGAATCGCGCCGGCAGAACGACGCCGCCACCGGCGACGGTAGAGTCGGAGAGACAGAGAAGAGAGAGAGAGAGGGGGAGAGAGAGAGAGAGAGAGAGAATGGAGAATTGGGCTGAAACGAATTAGGTTTAACCCAATTCTTTTATGCGACGAATTCCACAGAATCGACGCGAAAATGAAAAAAAAAAAATCTTAAATTAATTAATTGCGTCTATTCAATATAAATCGTCGCCAGGAAATAATAAAAAATCAATTCTATTGCGACGTTTATATATTCGTAGCAATTTGGGCTCCAAAATTTGGGAAAGAGAAAATACTTGCGACGTTTCATATAAATATTCGTCGCAATATTTATTAAAAAATAATAAAATGAAAATAATTTATTCTAACTGCGACTATTTCCTAAATCGACGCAACGGGAAAAGAAATAAATGCAATTTGTTTGCGTCGTTTAGTCACAATTCGTCGCAGGTAACATAATAAATAAAATAAAAATTATTCTAATTGCGACGACGTGTATTTCGTCGCAGGGATTGAAGAAAAAAATATTTTTTTCAAACTCCTAGCGACGATTATATAACTTTCGTCGCTAACATATACTTTAAAAATAAAAAAAAATTACTTTTCGCGACGTTTGTCGCTTTTTCGTCTCAAAAATATATGAAAAAGATTTTTGTTTTCTCGTTGCGACGTTTATTGACAGATTCGACGCAACCTAGCGACGATACTCGTGTTTCGTCGCCAAGGTTCTGAGTCAAAAGCGGGATTTAAACTGTTGCGACTAATGTAATAGGAATCGTCGCAAAATTGCGACGATTTTGATTTAGTCGCAAATTTTAACGTCGCCAGAACTGTGTTTTGGCCTAGTGGAGTATCATGTAATAAATCCAACACATTTATGGTATCTTGTATACTTATATGAGTATCATGTATGAAATTCAACATATTTATGGCATTTTGTACGCCAAACGCAATAATAATGCCCACCAACCTTAACATACACATCTAAAACATAATTTATGCATCTCCTATACTAATTGATCATTAAAGTGTCATGGATATCGGTATAACTCAATTCATCACAAACTATAGTCCGATGTGTGAAACACGTAAGTACAGTGAATACACATGTGAAGTACATGTCTAGAATTGACACGTATCTTCAAATAAACTAGAAAATATGTGTTGTTCATTAGTATGGTACGCTTATATTATTTATATTAATTTGTGGCCAAGTCAACCATATAAACTCAACTCATAACACAATATAGTACCATGACTTCAAGAGGTAAGTACAATTCATCAAAATATATGGTACAATATTTTCAATATAAAGTACGAGTAGAGCTGACCAATAATATTGTTAGCTATATAAAAGGACATATTCCTGCAACTACATACACATAATTACAATTATATCAAATATAACCCACTATAAAGTTCCACTACTAGTACTTCCAATACTCTCTTTCAACACCATCCAAATGCACTAGGAATACCACTATTGCATATAACATAAACTACAACATCACCAAGAGTAATACAATAAACCTTTTTCCCATTTCCTACATCAAAGTCATCAAACATCATACATCAAATTTTTGCTAGGACTAAAAATTCTTTGGGAACATGCTAATATCGCCAAAGAATAATACCCAAGAGAAGAGTGTTCAAAATCGACAATAAATAAATGATCTTTACAAACTCGAACAACAAAATAACAGATGTTGGAACCGAGTTAATGATTAGGGGAAACAAGTCAAATCTTATTTCTTCTCCTTCACCATTCTTCGAAAATGGGTCTCTTTCCTCTTTTCTTTTTGTTTTTTTCTTCTTCTACTACCCTGGTTCTTCCTTTTCTTTGTTCTTGTTGCTTCATTTGTATTGATTTAGGAGTTTGTTTTCTTGCGCATTTTCGTGTTCATTTTTGTTTGTTGTTTGAAGAAAAATAACATAAATTGAATTGGAACGGGCAAGAAAAGGAGAGAGAGAAGAGACATAGAAAAAGAGGAAAGAGGAAAGAGAGAAGAAAGAGAAAAGTAAGAGAGAGAAAATGAAAAAGTATGTAATTTCAGATTAAAGTAAAGGGTATTTTAGAATTTTCACTTGCCTCTAGGGACTAAACTGCATGTGAAACTTTGCATTAGGGACTGATACGTCTATGAAACGTCTGTAGGGACTGATCCGTACTTTAAGTTTGTGTTTGGGGATTTATATGTACTTACCCCAAAAAAAAACTCCAAAATTAAAATAAAGTTAAAATAAAAAAAAAACATCATTTAATCGAAATTAAAAAACAAATCTGAATAAAAATATTGCATTTTTGTATACGAGATTTGAGGGGAGTTCTTTTGGGAGAGAGATTAGTAGTCGGACTCTAAATTAGTGGGATTTGATTATGCAAAGATAGTTTAATTATATTTTTATGAATATAATAGGGTAAATGGAGAATTATGCTAAGTGAGGGGGTTATCCCTAACATTGGATTAAAAAGTGAATTTATGCCTCTAAAATAATTTGTATGCGGGGTTATTTCATATAACCCCTTTTTTTTATAGATGTATATACAGTAGAACATCGATAAATTAATAGCCTCGCTTAAATTATATTTTTTTTCCAATTCCAACACGCGAACAACGTGTAAATTAATGATCTACGAAATTTAAAAGATAATATAAATTTAATTTTTTTTTTAAAAGCCCCGTATAATATATAAGGGCAAAGGACAATGGAGTTAAATGCACATTGGTTCAGATAAAAAACAGTCTTTCAAATAAACTCATTCCCGTGTCTTTTTGTCTAAAATATCCTCCATAATATATTTTTTATCAATTCCATCCATCATGCTCTAACTTCCTCAATAGTATACATTGACGGATTGACCCCGGATTTAAATAAATATATCACATTAACCCTCCATTTTCATAATTTTCTGAAAAAAAATAATTTTTTTATGAATTTTTTTTCCGACCAGATTCCAGCGTTGACCGGGCGTTTCTCCGGGGTTGACTTTCTTTTTGTTTTTTTGGATTTTTTTTCTGAATTTTTTTTCTTGCCAGTCAACCGCCGATTTCCGACGTTGATTTTTTTTTCTTAAAATAAATATTTTAATTAATATTACTGTCTTGACTGCTAAATTACTGTCTTCAACAGTAATTTAACTGACGGAGACAGTAATTTAACTGTCTGAGACAGTAATAATAACGTCTCCGGCGTTGACTTATTTTTTTTCCTCTCTAAATTAATGTGTTAACAACAAAATTATTATCTTAAATAGTAATATTGAATACCAACACAGTAATATTACTAATATTACTGTCCCAAACAGTAATATTACTGTCCCAAACAATAAAATTACTGTCTCAGACAGTAATATTACTGTTTGGAACAGTAATATGACTAATATTACTCTTTCAAACAGTAATATTATTGCACGAGACAGTAATTTACGATCGGAAACAACAAATTGCAGGCCAAGACGATAAAATTAATTGATATAGAAAAATTACTGTATCATACAGTAATATTACTATCTCCGACAATTACTGTTGGAGATAGTAATTTAGCAGCCAAGATACTAATATTAATTAAAATAATTTTTTTAAGAAAAAAAAATTTCAATTAAAAAAAGTTAATTAACAGTTAAATTACTGTTGGAGTCAGTAATTTATCAGCCAAGAAAGTAATATTAATTAAAATTATTTTTTGTAAGAAAAAAAATTGAAATATATAATAAAAAAGTTAACGCCGGCGGTCTCTAAAGGTGGCTGGTCAAATTAGGTTCAAAATTGGAATAAAAGTCAAAATTGGTTAATAGGTGAAAAAGCTAAATTATGGTGTAAATCATGAAATTGGAGTTGAATTGAATTTCAAGAAACTGAGGGTAATTTTGGTATATATAAAAGGGTTTTTCTAATTTGCAACTAAGTTTGAATGAGTTGGAATTATTTGAAAGACAAAAATATTGGATGCCTTTTTTTTTTTTTTTTACTTAAGTGCCCTTGTCATGAGTTTATTTGTCATTAACCCAATATATAAACTAATAATGCATAAAAATAATTCTTAATGTATTTACACAATACAATACATATTTTATAGATCTATGAAAACTTAATAAAATATGATTTAATTTCCGTTTGTTTCTTGTTGGAGTTCATATCACCATCAATCTCGGTCTTCACGTTTTTTAACATGGTTAGAAGTTCTGGCATAGATTTCTCATAATTCAACAAAAAAATGTTCAATACCATTGCTGGTTTAAGAGTTTCCGTTCGAGAAACGAGCTCTATAGTACATTAAACTAATAGTACAATGAATAGTACATACAAAAAAAAAACGTATTTGTGGGAAATAATAATAAAATAATTTCATAAATTAATAAGTTATTAATAAATGTATAAACTAATAATTATTAATTTATCGATAACTCAATATTTCGCTAAATTAATAGGATTTTGATGGTCTCAGCTATATATATATATATATATATATATATATATATATATATATATATATATATATATATATATATATATATATATATATATATATATATATATTAGTCCTATAGATTTACTAGTTGGGAGTTTTAGTCCACAACATTTCAAAATCAAAATTTTAA